CTCGACACGCCAAACGCACTCACGGGGGCATCGCCGCGGAAGCGGGAGGAGGGCGGGACAGACCTGCTTTGTTGTTGACCAGCTGGAGGATGAGGGGTCTGCGGGTGACGATGCCTGAACCTCGAGGAAGGAAGTCCCTGGAGAGTGAGGAAAGAGGGAGAGAGAGAGGCCAGTGGCCAAAGTGAGCTGCAGGGGAACCGCGAACAAGGCATGCTGGGAAAACACTTCAGATCCAAGTCCAGGAAGTGCACCCATCAGAACTGTATCCAATAAGCAGAAGTACACTCAAAATATTATATTTCATAAGAATGGTGCTTCGGTGCGTAACAATTGTCTGTCGCAACTACTTGCACAGACAACTTGATGGTTTCCAAAAATAACACAGTACGAGCAACATTGTAGACACTGCTGTCTACAGCAGGGTCAAAGTTCAGGCAACAATTCCGACGTTGGGCGTGGCATGGGCTATTGTGCCAGAGCAATGCAAGTGAACTTTCAAGGTGAACCAAAGGGGGCATGCCGGACAGGTTCGCCTAACCACCTGGCACGAAAACTTGCGCACCTCGCCTCGACCTGCTGTGCCGACCTTTAGTTAAAATGCCTGCCGAAACACATACAGTGACCCTGCATTAAAAACAAGCACAGCGCGTACATAACAACAGGATCCAGGTGGTGCCCGAATAAACGGATGGATCTGATGGTGTGGCAAACTGCCAGCCACAGTGACATTTCAGCAATGTTCAGGGAGTGGATTCCTCTTGCAGAAATGTATTTTTGTGCAACTCTACATAAGACCAGCAAATATACACATGAATACACAATGGCAACTTTGGCAATGTGCACATTCAAAATGAGGCAGCAAACTTTAGTGCGAGAAAAACACATGGTACTCGTGCTCTAGTATTACTTTAATATTTTATTATAATAAGATATATATTAATACTTTATGTGTTAATATTTTTAAACTAGTAAATACAGATGAAAAAACGTACGCCAGAAAGTCTTTAATTAGGCATCTAGAAACATACATAACGTGGAACAGTACATCTCGTTTTAAGCGTTTTTGAGGCATTTGCAGTTCAATCTGAATATCTTCCAAGCGAGGATACGCAAGTGCCGAATGCTTAAAATGCCCCACAATTTCTCCCCCACTGGAAACGGTGTCACTTACACTTTGTTGCGATAGCAGCCCCTCCTGTATCACAAGCTGTAGCGAGTGCGAAAAAACGGCCCAAGCCAAATCATCCATTGCTTTTTCCATATCACTCTCATTGTCTCGCACAATTGCGTGCACTTCGTTTAGTGGGATTTCCCACTAAATGCTACTCCCACCTCTCAAAACTTTGTTTTTACAAATATGGCGAATATTGCTACAAGTTGCTATTAAACGTGTAAAATACTTCCAGATCATCCCCCGCCATATCTGCTGTTTTTATGCTTCTTTTGCGCATGACGTCACACCCACAGAGTAGCAAATAGACTGAGTGGCAGTGATTGTGTTCGGTTTGAATGCTGCAAAAAACACACACATCTAAAAGGGGAAAGAACGGTCTCGCGATTTATTGTACTGATAGATTTAACACGAAATAGGAGCCGTCTTTGCAGAGACCGACAAAAACTAAATAAGTATTGGATGTGGATCGATCACGTATGGCTGATACCCGATCAGTTAGACATTGGAACGGTGAATCACAAAAAAAAGCAACTGAATGCACAGACAGTTATGATGGCAACACATGCGTCATAATCGATATGAAATTGGGAATGACGCAAGACACACAGCATCACCTAACATACACGTCAAACCAAACTAACCGGTCTGAAATACACATTCCAGCTTCCCCTGGCAGCCAAAAACACAGACAAAGGTTGATGGGGGAGAAAGCTCAGAGGGGGGGGGGGGGGGGACTTGAGAAACAGGGTATACGTGAGGATGAAGAGGAGGAATGTGGGAGGACAAATGGCCATAGGGGCATCAAGAGCAAGAAACGAATGAGGGGGGATAATGGTGAGGAGCAGACATTAGCTAGAGGAGGAAAGCGGACATGTGACCCAGGAGGGCCTGACACAGCACGACAGATGGAATCCTGGGACAATGAAGCCAGAAAGACAGATGCGAGGCTACACAGAGGCCGCTGTTCACAACTGCTGCCGCGTGGAGTGCCGTTAGCCCCTGATGTAAGAACACGTTAAGTGCAAAGAGAGGAGGGAAGGTTCATTAGTCATCAACAGGGGGCCGTCTCAGGCTCCTAACGAGGCTGAGATGCACACAGAGATGGGCGCGCGCGCGCACACACACACACACACACACAACCACAGGGCTCCAGCGAAGAGGGCCGCAGGGAATCAGCTGAATTATTGATGTGCTGTAAATGATAGACGAAGCCGCCATCTATTATACATCTCCTCGACCAGAAAGCACAGAGCGGGAAGCTGGCGGGCCACTCAACTGAGGGAGATGAGCAGGAGCCTGTGTGTGTGTTTGTGTGTGTCTGTCTGTCTGCCCGGTACCCCCATGCACAGTCAAGCAGTGATGCAAGAGCAGGGAAAGGCAAAACCAAAAACACAAACTGCTGCAGGTTTCACTCGAAGACATCTGGATCAATAAGTGACAGGGTCTCATCATTCACCTTCTGTGAGCATCATTAAACTCTTTAACACACACACACACACACACAATTGATCAACAATTTCACCTTCTAGACCAAGACCAAAAAACGCCAGCGGAACAGAGTCCATTAGCCCGTGTGAATTAAAGTCGTTTCCCAGGTGCTGCACTGTATTTAAAATGCGAGACACGGTAAGATGACAAGCCTTGATGTCATGTCCTTCAGGAGAGAACGTGATTAATAAAGCATGAATACAAGTGTGACAAATCAGCGAAACTAAAACAGTGTTGTACAAAAAACAACTGAATCAAGCATTTGTGTATTTTCAGCCGCACAGTGTTGGATTTTCTCAGTTTGTGCTGTTCTACACGTGTGCGCATCACAGCTGCAGGGGGCAGCGATCCCAATGTGTCACTCCACGATTCACTGCCAGCACTCCACCACTGAGCCAGCACGTTCTGTACGATCAGTAAGATCAGGAAGACGAGGGCTCTAAGAGAAGCACTGTATCCCAAACTTCCAAGGTGCCGGCTTCACCGCAAAATGCCAGGGAGCCAGATTACAACCCTGCCCAATCCACACCCGTCTGCCTGACACAAGATAAGGCCCACCCTGTGACTGATGGAGTTCCACCACACACACACACACACACACAGGACGCTTGGCTGCACATTGACCAAGAGTTCATCGCCATGGCTACCATCGATTAGATTAAGGAACTTGTTCGACTGACATCTGGACGCCCTGGGCTGGGGCTTCTGGGTAAAGTGCCATTCAAGAGATATCGTGCAATCTAAGTGCTCCAAGGAAACTTAATCTAACCCAAACAAGAACGAACATCCGCACTACCTGACGCCATGTCTATGACAAACGACTGTGAGAGCGAGCGAGCGAGCGAGAGAGAGAGAGAGAGAGAGAGAGAGAGAGAGACAGACAGACAGAGAGACAGACAGAGAGAGAGAGAGGAGTTGAGAGTGAGAATCTCTGAAATGGCTACTCCATTCACTCACAGCTTGAATTTCCTGAAAGACCAGAACTCGTCATTGTTCTTCAGAGATATTACATCATCTCTGGGTGTTCACAACAGCTTGCATAGTCTCTCGGTTTATGCGGGAAAACTGCAAGGTTGCTGATAAAAGTAATGGTTTGTTGGGTCGACTCCGTCTTGAAAATGGCAACTTGGGTCACCATCACTGTCTTTCAATAAGTCACTGATGGCTGCTGGTGGAATTACACCCTTCAAATGCCCTGTGTGCTCTTCCCAAAATAATAATCTGTGTCAATGAGTTAAATCAATTAGGGGAGAATAGCATTAGGCTTGAATTCCAAGAAATGAAGACATTCACAGACAGGACGGAATGAATCAGCCTATCACTGGCGAGCCACCCGCCACCCAGATGATGGAAAACAGGAAGCTGGCGAAGGCAATTAAGTGCTGTGTTCAACCCCGCCTTCTCAACTGTGAGCATGAGGTGGATTGGCTGCTGGAAAAACAATCATTACAAAAAAGCAAAAAAAAACAGCCATTGGTAGCATTCGGAGGCAATGTGTTGTGCCCCGCCCCCCACCTCCAGCGAGCACACAGGCCCGAACAGGAGACGGGATGTTCCACTGTGCAAAATGGAGTAACCGGTCGAGCAAGACTGAGTCCGAGATTGCTGGCTGTCACTTTATCTGGGACGAGATCTTTTCTTAAGCAAAGAGGCACCAGCGTAGTGAACTCAGGACCCGGCTGAAGAAGAACATAGCCAAGGTGGCCTCTGTTTGGCCAAAAAGAGAGAGATGTGGGCCTTGGGGAAAGAAAAAAAACAACAACAAAAGATGGGTGGAGGCGGCTATGGCGCTAATTACACCCAGGGGCTATGTGCAAACCTGCTTGCTCTTCCTCTGAAATCAACAACAGAGGGCAGATCGCCCATTCCCCATCGAGTCACATGACGGTGTGTGTGTGTGTGTGTGTGTGTTCGCGCCTGAGTGCCCGTGAGTCGCAGGTGAGCATTACCATGCAACAACATTTCCTTCTGTATGAGGGGGAAAACCACAAAGACATGACCGTGGATCAACAGAATGACCTTAAAAAAAGATTTTTAAAAAAAGAGAATAAAAAAAATTAAAATATTTTTATTATATAAAAGACTTGTGAACAAATCAGGGTTTTCCCTACTTGGACGCTGCAAAAATTCAGGAGCTATTCCTGCTGTAATTAATGCAACATATTAATAACCCTGCAATTAAAAGCAACCACAATAAATAAGGTTAGTGAAGGGTTTGTTTGGGTTTCAGGTGCCCCAGCCAGGTCCTAAAAAGCGGTCGTCCAACAGGTTTTAGGGAATGCACTTATCTTTACTGACAGTAGAAAGACAAGCTGGGATATCCTGCTTTTCAAATACATGCTTCAGGTGGGCAATGAAGAGCTCTATCCCACAGACCTCCAGGTCCAGAGCTGGCCAACCGCGGTTTCGGATGCATAGCGGGGACCCCAACTGTCAGCCAATCAGCTGATTCTTAACAATGGTGTTAGGGGTGAACCGCACCGCCTGCCGTTGCAACCCACGGGTAAAGGCTACAGCTTAGAAAAACAAACGCCAGTCGGAGCGGACTGTGATCGTGCCGTGCTATTACAGTCCTCCCCTCCCGGACCCATCCCTGCAGCATCACGTTTTAATGGGCTTTTAATCGTCCCCAGTGCAAACATCTGCCCAGCTGGCGTGGAAAGCCCGAGCAACACCTGCCGTACCCGCCAGTTCGCGGCAGGCGACAATTACAACCGCGAATTGTCGGACGGTAACCTAGATCGAGAAAGATCTGGGTTAACTTTTGACTCTGGCTTGGCTGTAATTGTGAGAAAAAAAAAATGCATGCAACGGCAATGGGTTTTCAAACAAATAAAACACACAATGACCGCGATACAACTGCAGCGGCCCATCAACCAAGGGCTACGTCTGACATGACGGCTGCGCAAGCAGCCCTTAGAAAGTCACCCCTTTCACTTTCCCTCCACCCGTACGGAATCCCACCGGGTACGGTACCCCACCGGGTAGACTTCCCACAGCGAGCGGCACCGACCGCCCCGCTCCTTTATCTCCGCCCCCCTTTCATTTCCTCGTTCCCGGCCGCTGTTCAACCTGCGTTAAGTGCGTAACTTGTTTTCGTGCATGACAAGCGGGTTTACGGGAAACGAGCGGGGAGAGAAGGAGGAAACGGCGGAGGAGCCGCGAAAACACGGGCGGAGGACCGTGACCGGGGCGCGCACGAGACCCGCCACCGCGCGGGCTCCGCGCGGCGGCCAGCGAGGGCCGTGTTGTCATCGCGCCCGTTAATTAGCAATACGCGCTTAATCAGTCAAACTCACCTGCCGACGAAATTCTCCAAAACCGAGCTCTTTCCGGCACTCTGACCGCCGACCACGGCGATCTGCGGCAAGTCCAGGTTACAGCTCTGGCCGATGGAGCTGAAGGCGTCCTGAAGTTTATTTACGAGGGGAATCAAATCCTCCATCCCCCGGTTCCCCATTGCTGCGCTGGGCTCGCCTTGTCTGTCGCGTAGCAAACCGGCTAGCAAGCTAAGTACTCGTGTTACTTTGAAGGCTTGAGTTTCGCCCTACAAACTATTTGACTTCTTTATTCTAAAAAAAGACAAATGCAGTCAACGGAAAGAGTTACTTGAGATAAAAATAAGGGTTTAACAAGTCGTTACCGGTAGCGCTAAACAAGACCGATCACTCAATCAAACGGATAATAAAAAAAAAAACTCACTAAACAAAACTTCTATCATCCGGTCAGACGACACCAACCTCCGTTGGTGACTGAAACTCCACCCTCTGTCAACCAAATTCGCCACAGCCATTGGTTAAATCAACTGCTCGTCAACATAGCCTGTCTTGTTATTGGTCTTTTCTTGTTCTGTCGTTCAACGTGAAAAGGCGTGGACGTGAGACTTGAGCGGCGGAACTTCGGAAAGTAATCTCAGTGGGAATTCATTATGTCAATCATGGTCTCGGACCCTACAACGCCCTCCCACATTCATTCAAGTCTAGATAAAGGTGCCCTATATTCTCACTGAACTTCGCTCTGTGTTACATATTCTGTAACGTTTATTAGGGAGTTACGAAGTTGACGTCAAAAGTAAATAACAAATGATAGCTAGACATCACTTAATAATGATTACATGTCAACATGACTACTGACAGAATTTAAAATGAGTGGCATCCAGTTTCAATCAGGATCCTTACTTCATGCACCGCCCAGTCTGACGGGGAGTAATAGCTTCGACAGAAAATAGACGAAACCAAATTTACAAGCTGGCATTATACCTGAAGTTCAAGTTAATAAGCATTTTCTGGTTTTTGAATGACAGCTGAAGTTGATTACATTTGGCTGTGTACGGCCATTATAGCACATTTACTAAACTGCTCCGTTACTACAAAACCAGACCAACCCGCGTATATTACACCAAGCCAAAGTGGTCTTTAAACCATATTATTGGCAACGATTTTACAGTTTTAACCCGTCGGTTTATGTTAGCCATCCACAATTTATTTAGGCCTGAAGGTTTGTGCTGAATCGGTATATTTAAAAACAGAATATCAAAATACTGTTCCCACCTGTCCCGTTTCTGCAGATACAATCTAGTAAAAGGCAATAACTCTAGTAATAAATACGGTTTCGGAAACTAAAATTCACTGGTCACTAGGCGTCGCTGCCTCTCAAAAATACAATTTAGAGCGATTTCAACTTCATTTACTCTCCATGCAAAAAAAACTTCCGCTCGATCATTCATTGTAACCAATCCAAGTTAAAGAGAGACAATGAGAGACTGTGTTATACAGCACTCCAAACTAAAATAAAATACTTTGCAGAAAATATTAGGCGTGTCTGTGTATGACAAACATTGTCACAAATATGCCAATGCATAAAACGTATGGCGTTAAAAATATTAACAAAACAGACTATTTTTTAGTTCATAGCGCAGGCATAATATGACAAAAATTAGCTATCAACCAGTCGAGCAAGTAGCGAAGCGCATTCGCCAACATACTTCCGGTCACGTTGTTCTTACGTAGTATAACGTTCCCAATATGGCCGCCTCCATAGTCCATGATGCCGAGATGAATGTCGCAAACTTTGCCTTGTCTGCTAAGCGAGCTGTATCAGCTCTCCCCCCTCTGGCACTGCGGATAGTGGCGGAGTGTCCGGTGAGCAAAGCCCGGGCATGTGATCTCGCCCTTCCTCACTCCACGGTCAACACGCCGGTGTTTATGCCCGTGGGGACGCAGGGAACTCTGAAGGGAATAACGGTGGACCAGCTTGAAGCGCTCGGATGTCAGATATTTTTGGGGAACACTTATCACCTGGGGATGAGACCGGTAGGTGCTTAACGCTCGGATCCCCGTTTCCACTTTCCCTCAATATTTATGCAGCTCAGGTAGTGAAATACTTGGGTGGTTCTAAATATGAGCATGAATGTTATGAAGCAGAAAAGCGGATTGAAGATGTCGAGCGTAGTGGTGGTGATTTATTTACTAGTTCTATGAATTTTCGCAGGGACCAGAGCTCATTGAAAAAGCAAACGGGTTGCACGGCTTCATGAACTGGAAAGGAAATCTGCTTACGGTGAGCGCTAAAGTGATCCCCGGGAAACTGAACTGAACTGAAGTGCGGGTGGAGAGCTGCTGGTCGTAATGTTAACAAAACACTTGCAGGAGGAACTGAGTTGCGAGTGCTATTTCAGTGTGTACAAATACTGTACGTGTCCAACAAAGATATCCGTATTTTCTGCCTTCATGTGAACAGGACAGTGGGGGATTCCAGATGGTGTCCCTGGTCGAGCTATCAGAGGTGACAGAGGAAGGTGTTAAGTTTAAGTCACCTTATGATGGCCAGGAGATTCTGCTCACACCAGAACAATCCATAGCCATCCAAAACAGCCTAGGTAAGACTTCCAATGTGTCTGAAAGTTTGTGAAACCTGTAGAGTTTTTTTTGAATTTCCTGAAGAATCTAATCTAATTAGATCTGTGACTCCAACAAAGCTAATAACATGTAAAATGTTGTTTTTCATTTCATTTGCTGATCAAAATGAGCCAGCATTAAATGTTTTTTCAAAATGTATGAAATTCAACACATACTGCCCCCCCTTCCCCTCATATACTCCTGCTCGCACAGAAGTGCAAGATAAAAGATATCACCGATTATAATACAGATTGTTGCAGACATAAAAAAAAAACTAATGACTGAAAGAGGAAATGAATATTACTGGCCCGCAGGCTCTGACATCATCATGCAGCTGGATGACGTGGTAAGCAGCACCATCTCTGGGCCGCGGGTGGAGGAGGCCATGTGGCGCTCCATCCGCTGGCTGGACCGCTGCATCGCTGCCAACAAGAATCCGCACCGGCAGAACCTGTTCGCCATCATCCAGGGTGGGCTGAACGCTGACCTGCGCAAGGCCTGTCTGGAGGGTAGGGCAGCACCCCGTCTTAGATCCTAGCACCAATCCCAGAATCCTCCTGTATCTCCAAATTTGCATATTATTGTATGTGTTGTTCCATAGTAGATTAATACTAGATAGCTTCTAGCGAGGCTTGGGTGCTATTAAGCTAATACGGTACAGCAAGGTATACATGGGTTTACTGTGATAAACTAATAAATTCTACGCCCCCTGGTTGGGTGAAATGTATGGTGGGATCCCCACACCTTACATGCTCAATTTAATCGCGGGGCAATTTGATGGCACAAATTTCAAAATACCGCAATAACGTTTTGAAAACGGCATCAAAATGCTGTGTACCATGGTGTGATGCCTGGAAGGTATGACAGAATGAAAAATCAGACACCACCCTAACCTACTTCTAGTCGAGCTTTATTGTTATGAAGGAGAATGATATTTTATTGATCCCCTTGGGGAAGTTCTCTTTTCGCCTCTCCCGTCCTGCTCTCTGTGAGACACATGAGTTCAAACCGACGACCTTCCAATCACAGGCATAGAGGCTCAGCCCGCTGGGTCTCACACCATCCCCAAAACCATCATACGTCCAATTTTCCTCAAACTCGACCGCAAGAAATCTTGACTGCAGCCTAAAACCAGCCTATCGCTCCCCTTGATCACACTGAAACGGTGTAATAAAACTATTATGCTGCTGGGATATTGTCTGAGCATCATACGAATACTTAAGTATTTAAATGTACACTTTAATAGACGGAGTTTAAAGGCAGCCTTAGACGTATTCTTGAAGTTTGAAGAATGTGTGCAGAGATGAACCATTCAGGTTTTAAACCACAAATTTTGTGAAAACCTTAATCATGGTTGAATGAGAGAATCTTGGAGTTTGGACCCAGAAAAGGCTTGTTGCTGACCGCCTGCTCCCTGCTTTTCCGGCTCCCCGACAGAGATGACTAAGCGGGATGTTCCTGGGTTCGCCATCGGTGGGCTGAGCGGAGGAGAGGAGAAGGATGACTTCTGGAAGATGGTGACCCTGAGTACTGACCACCTTCCCCGGCACAAACCCCGCTACCTCATGGGAGTCGGGTATGTGGCTTGGCATCGTGGCTTTCCTCATTAGATCAGCCCTTGGCATCTCTGCTGCCCATGACATAAAGAGACCTCGAGATTCACTTTTCAACATCTACTTTTATTGCACAGGTTGGGATCAGTATGCAGAAAGTTCTAGAACAGATCATCTGTAATGTATCGCAGGACATTCTTTTCCTAGTAGGTCAAGGTGGCTGACTAATTAGCAATACATCAGAATCAGCAGCAGGTTCTTGTGTCACTCAAAATGTTACTTCAGCCCCAAACCCCAATTGTAGTGACTGTTTGTGGCCAACAGGGGGCCCCACACAAATGTGAGGCGTGATTGGTAGTAAACACCGCCACTGACGAAGATGATGGAAGACATTTTACTCAAATATCATTTGCCCTGTGTTGTATGAAAGTCACTGGTTCTGTATTGTATAATTTAATTGTAATGCTCTGTGTTTCCGTCTTTCTGTCATAATCTGTGTTCTAGCTACGCGGTGGATCTGGTCGTCTGCGTGGCTTTAGGTTGCGACATGTTTGACTGCGTCTTCCCCACCCGCACAGCGGTGAGCCTTTTGATCTCATATCAAATGTGAGGAAAATGTGAGAACTCTCTGTGAAAGAACAATAATCCTGTGCGACTTGACGGAGACGTCGTGTGCGTCATTTCCTAGAGGTTCGGCTCAGCCTTGGTCCCCTGGGGATCACTGCAGCTCAAACAAAAGCAGTACGCGAAGGACTTCCAGCCCATAGACCCAGGCTGCTCTTGCGCCACCTGTAGGAGGCAAGTGGAACTGCAGCATACCCTTTCCTATTTGTTTTGTGACTTGGTGTGGGGGGGGCCTGGGTATTACATTGTTCCTCTGCATAATTTATATTGGAGAACTATTCCAAGAGCATTGTAACCTTGCTGAGGTTTAACAAATAACAACAAGCTAAGATCTAGAGACAGGCTACTTGGAAGTTGTTAGCTTAACTGTACCTGTCCTTGTGTGTGTGTGTGTGTGTGTGTGTGTGTGTTTTTAAATCTGTCCCTGCCTCTCCTCCCCAGGCACAGCCGGGCGTATCTCCACGCCCTTTTCAAGTGCGACACTGCGGCTCTGCACCACATCACCATCCACAACGTGGCCTATCAGGTGTGTGTTGATTAGGCTGTGTGTGTTTGCATGTGTGGGTGTATGCGTGTAGACAGGCTCGTCACCTGAATCCGACAAGATCAGAGCATCAAAGGTTTTCCTGGTAGCCTGGGGTAAGATTGTGTGAAGTGCATCCGCGTGATTGCGAGTGTGCATTTTCACGGTGAGTGAGTGCTTATGGACAAGAGGGAACTGGTGTGCGTCTGCTTCTGGACAAAGGAAACCGCCATCGAACAAGTTTAAGTGCACTTTGGTGTGTAATCTGGCGCGGGTTTATGTAACCGTGTTTGAGTGTGCAGAGTCTGATCTGTGTTGACGTGTCCCCCCCCCCCCCCCCTTTGTTGCCATTCTGCTTGGCCGGCGGACACTAACGGGTAGCGTATGCTGCATTTGGAGCAGGGAGCAGGGAGCCCCCCCCCCCAGCTGTCACTCATGAGTGCCGTGCGGGAGAGCATCGTGGGAGGCCGGTTCCCCCAGTTTGTACGGACGTTCATGAGGCGCATGTTTCCCTCGCCGGAGCAATACCCCAGCTGGGCTGTGGAGGCGCTGGCCTCAGTCAACATCACCCTGGACTGCGTGAGCAAGGATGAGAGAAACTGAGTGAAGTGGACAGTATTGGACTTTCCCCAGGAACCAAAACAGTACACAGGAGCTGGAAACCTGGTTACCACTGTTTACGCAAGACTGTATATTTAAACTTTTTAATGTTTTTAATCCGCGATATTTGGAAACCAATGGAAAGGTTTAGAAAACGATCAGTGTAAAACTCTAAAGCACCATGTTTCACACGCATAGTTATATGAAAATACTCCCGTTCATTCTTTTTCAATTATCACTTTTTTTTACCAGTTGATCTGATAGATTTATACAGATTTGTTTATAGAGATTTAAGGATCGGCGGGTTTGGTGTGGACGTAGGGCGATTGAGGCGAGTGGCGCTGTTGCCATGGCGACCCGCGCTGCCGACGCGTTTGAGAACATGCCCTCCTTTGCATGTCCATCTCCACCTGCTGCTGTTCCCTGAAATACCAAGAGGTCGACGCTGGTTATGAACGATTAAAAACGGATTCAATAATAAAAATGAACCATAATCGCTTTTGCGGCTCCTCTTAAGCGCAAAAGTTTGTGGCAAATTAAGGGTTTCCATTAAGTAACGAAGTTTTGATACACGGTGAGATATGTGGTATACTTTGTTACTTACAACAACGCGCATAATTATTTCCTGATGATTTATACTTCGTATAAGAAGCTCTTTTGGTGTCCCGAGGGTAAATCAGCTGACATGCAGAATAGTGTCCCAGTCCCGGACTCATCTACTGCCCGCGGTGCAGCTATGTCGGTGTGTGACCACCAGAGGGCGCAAATCCGGGGCAGGGTGTGTGTGGCAGAGCTGTGGCTGTCAACGGTAGGGGTGCCCACAATCGATTGGTACCTCAGCGATCATTCATTCACGGCCGAGAGGAAATTCTCACTCCTCGGCACCACTTTTGCCATAAAAGTTTAATTTAATTGTTATCGCAACTTTATTTTAGGCCTAATTGCAGCACCAAGTACTTTGTCTTCTTGAATTTTTAAAAACCGTGTAAATTAATCGTTATTTTAGTCCTCTTAAGGAAAATGAGTTAGGAAAAATTGTTTATGTGGGCTTGCTCTATGTACACCATGTGTAAATATGTGGAAATAGGTTTTCAACCTATTTACACCATGTGGAAATAGGTTTTCAACCCGGCGCTGGTGTTTCCAAGCACCTAAATTTCACCACTAAATTTAAACAAATTGTGTCGCCGGCTGACGTAAAGAAGCTGTCTTCTTTGCAACAGGTCTATGGAAGGTTATCTGGGGTCTTTATTGCAATCTTTACCCTCTTCCTTTTTCCAGCGACAACAAAACGGCCCTTTTAAATTGAAATTTTGTCCCTTTAATTGAGCCGAAATTGGTGTAGGCAGGTGGACTCCTTTACGGCCGCGTTGCTTGTGCCACTGGCTTATCTGGAAAAGCAGCGTCTCTTGGGGGGGCTTTGCGGTGTCACCTCGCATTAAACTGGTGACAAATTAGAAAAGCGTGAAATGACACGCAGACTCTTTCGGGCGCCCCAGGTGAAGCTGCAGATTTGCTCCGTCACTCAGCTCATTGCTTAATAAGCCTCAAAGGGCGCTCAGAAATTAGTTCAGATGTTTGCAAAATTAGGACTTCGCTTACATCCTCCTCTGGTGTGAAATACGTACGGAACTTCACTATGTGTCATACATGAAGCGAGCACCATGCAATATATAGTAAATGAACGTATTTGAAGAATCCGTAGCAAATATGCGCGTCGACACGGGAATTTAAATGATAATGCTGGAGATGCCGGTTCTTACTCTCGACCACCCGGTGGAGACAGTGCATGGTGCTTATGGCATAAGCCGATGACTTCGGTCAGTCTGGAGGCGCCTGAAAAGCAACCAGTTGCGCTTGAAACGCCTGAGAGCGGAGAGGAGCTTTAATCCGTGATCGCAGCCGGGTGGCGGGCAATCCCTGAGCAGATCATGGGGATGCTCGCCTGAAACGTGCGATCAGCTGGTAAAACGAGGACGGGGGGTGGGGGGGTGAGATCGGTAACGGGTTTTCCTTTCCCACTTTACTTCGCACCCATCTCACTGTGTTCAGAGCTGACATGGTGGAGCTTGAGAAGGAGGTTCTGCCGCTGCCGCCGAGGTACCGGTTCCGAGATCTCTTGCTGGGGGACTGGCAAGCGGACGACAGGTAGGAGACAAGTGTAAACTTGTACAGCGGATCGAGAGCAATATCTCTCATTTCGGATGAGATTGATGCATCCCCGCATCTACATGTCATAAATCGGAACACGTTACGCTACCGTTATTATGTCGACTGTGATAAAAGTTTTTTTTAATTGTATCAGTTTTATTAGCCTGTGCATGTTTCCAAAGAATCATTGAATGCAGCCACAGTGCATTTGTGATCATCTGTCACATGCCGAGGTTTCAACAGGTTTACGGCAGAGAGCCTGGAAAACGCAGCCGTACGTACAAGGAAGGTATACACGTAGGGACTTTTGTAGGTGTGCAAGTTTAACAGCGAATTCACTGCCGAAAAGATTAATAACTTTTACCTCGAGATTTGAATAATTTGCAACCGTAATTATGGATTCGTATTCTTCTGATAAATCATGTATGATGACGTGATACGTCGCGTTATATCACTCTGGCTAACTGCTCCATCGCTCCAAATCTCAACGCAGAAGGCGAGACCTTTACTTCTGATGTAAATTGTATAAGCTTAGTTTTCTTTTTCCCCCCACCCGTTATTAAAAATGCTATTACATGTGTGCTCTAAGTATCCAAATAAGGGTGGAACCGTAAAACTAGGCAATAAAGTGTTATTGAAGCTGATGTCGCGAGAGGGATAGTGAGAGATTTCGTACTATCATACAGTACAACGCAAATGACCTCTGCCATCATAACAATGGCGTTTTATCTGACTTCAGGAAGAAATTGGGGGGAAACTGCTCAATTTGTGCTTGTCACCCAGCGTTTGGGGGAGGGGGAGGGTCACGCCCAGCAAGGCAAAGTCCCAGTTAGCTCCCATCGTGGCTGTTTTCCTGGCCACATCGATATTGGGCTAAGGAGTAAAAAATATATAATATTACACTTAGGATGTGAGGAAACTGTAGGGATGTAACGATTCTTTTCCACATCTCCGGATTGAAACAATATTCCTCCTACTGTTCTGTACGATGTGCTCACTTGGGTCAGTGAAAATTGAACCTCAGTGATTTTGCAGTGGGCTACCTGTCACAATATGAGTACTGACTGGCTGCCGTCTCTCACCTGCAAACCTGAACAGCGTCTCCTCTCACAGTTGGGTACATGGCAGACGTTTGGTGGAACAAGCACATTTTTTTCAGACTCTCGTGGATGGAAAGGGAGGAAAATGTAAATAAACAAAACTCTACACAAAATGAGCATCGAGTTTGTTGGTAGCTCAACAAGATCAGCATCCTCCTAGCCTCAAAGATAAGGGTTCAATTTAGGCTGCACCTAAATTGTAACACTTTACTCTAAGTTAATTTGGATAAAAGCATTAAATAAATGCATCTAAAGGACAATCCTTGATGGATAAATATGTGGTTCTGATGTCAAAATCATTAAAGTCTTGTGAGTGGATGACTGGATGGAAGAGAGATACTGAAACCCTCAGCTGTGTAGGCCCAGCATATTAAGGTAGAGAATGGAACAGTATCGATGGTCAGACCTTGAGGGATGATGTCATCTGTGTCAGTCTGGGGGAAACTGTCAAAAGACTTACCCTTTACTGCAGCCAAGGGCGCTAATAAAAGTTAGCACTTTAGCGCATCTGAAAAACACGTAACGATATATTTTTTTTAAGAGCAGGATTGTTTTCAGCCCACTAGCCTGATCGAGGTGTTAGAAGACGATGGATGAATGGGAGTGATTAGTCCACTTGCCGATCAAGTGATAATTTCGCAAGGTGCACAAAAAGATAAGTGCCTATTTGTTGCTAGGCTACTTTTTCCGATGGGCGATGCTGTTAAAATCGCCTGAAACGACAGGCAACCTGTGATTACGACGTCAATAAAGGCGGAAAGGCTGAACAGCAGGTGAATCTGGAGCTCGGCCTTGAGAGCCGGGATCCTGCCGCTGGCAGAATTAATATTCATATTAATTAACACCTGGCCGACACACAGAACACCAGGTGAAGTGACTTACAATGCAGATAATTACTTTGGCAAAGCAATTAAGAGCATCGCTGGCTGAAAGCTGACACCACCCGTGAGCATTGCGTTTGGGCAGCCCCGCTACGTGGCTACTCTAGGTGGTTTGTGAAATTGTCAGCCAGCGATATATACCCAGCATGCCGTTCACAGAACAGAATAAGGCGGCTTAGGAATGGGGAAGAAGCTTTGACGCCCCCAATGTGAGCTGTGCTGGGCAGCCAACATCGCATTCGGTTTTTCAGAGGTCCCTACCCCCCATCCTTTGGGTACTGCCCCCCCCCCCCACACACACACAGTCCAAAAAACATGCCGAGGTGAACTGGAGTTACCAAATTGCCTGTAGGTGCGTGTGTGTGAATGATTTGTGTGCCCTGCGATGGGTTGGTGCCCCATCCTGGGCTGTTCCCTGCCTTGCGCCCATAGCCTCTGGGATTGGCTCCAGCCTGCGCAGCCCTGCATAGAAAAAGTGGGCATGGATATGGATGGATGGGCGGATTAACTTATCTGGGGCTCTGGAGGCGCCTGAAAGGCAATCAGCATGGACACTTAGGTGCTGCTGATTTAAATAACTCTTCTGTTTGTCCCCGGAGGGGGCGGGGCTCTGATGTTCGCTAGGGCCCTAGGCTATAGCTTCGGATAGTTTATACACTAATCTGGCCCTGGAGGAGGCCACTGAAGGGTACAAGAGCCGAGCTCGTCCCGGGATTCCGAGCCGGGTCCGGTCACGAGTACCCGATCTCTCGGAGCCCCGCTGGGGGAAGCAGGGCGTGACGAAGCGTACGCGTGCCGCCAGGGGAATTATCCTCCCCAATTTCCCGTAAGTATGCGGCGATGGAAATATCAGCGGCATTACATGAAGAATGAGCTGATTGGGGGAGAGCCGGGCCCGCGTGATTGGCTGGCTAATTCCTCGTTTGAATTACAGGAAGCTTGTAAATTCCTTTCTTTCAATAATGTCGGAAGTGCCCCCACCCCCCCAAATCCCCCTCCATACACACCTGTCGCAGTCTACTTAGTTGACTCTCCAACTTATTATGAAAGCGCTTAATTCCCCTCCACTGCTACTCTCTTCATTCTCCCTCTACATGCTCTGAGTGATTTTTTGAGGGGCGGCTTGCACACTGCCAACCCCCCCCCCCCCTTATCCACAGGAGGGAGTCTAGGTTTTTTTTTTAAGGTGGGGGGGGGAGGGCATAAAAGGGGCCGTAATCCATACAGTGGGGCCAAACTTATCATCAGCCAACGATATGTTTTGAATTAGTGAGTGACAGAAGTGGAGGTGCTCAGAGGGCCAATCAGCTTTCAGTCCCTGTGGCTCCGCCTCCCCTTGTGCTCCTGCTTACCTAATCCAGGTGCAGGCGGTGGAATAGTACAGAGATATGCAGAGCCTAGGCGGGAGGGGGAGGGGTGGGCCTGTAATATGTCAGCACAGTAATAGGCTGTGGTTTCACTGCTGCACAGATGTCCAGATACTCCACACACCACTCACAGCATGAGCAGCTTGTTGCATAAAGCCTGCAGACACTAATTGGCATGAGTGTTCGTTCACATTTCAGTCTCCGGGCCTGTCGATGCTCCCAGTCCCCGTCGAGCCAGACCTGACGCGAGATGCCCCCCACCCCAGTCAGCGGTCGGATGGCGACCTGGGGCTTTAAGGCTCCAGAAGGCCTGTCGGTCCGGGAGGCCGTGAGGCTGAAATGCGGACTGGACCTCCCCACCGTGTGGGACCAAACACTGCTGAGGCACCACCGGCCCTGGCGTGCCGAGTCTCAGCTACTCAGTCATGCCTTAATCCCTCGCCCGTCTTTGGCCAGTTCTCTTACAGCAAGATGGCTTCTGAGGACTGACAGACGTATTTAATAAATAATGACAGGTCATGTGAGCGGCAGATGTCTGTCTCAGTCCCGGACCCCCATCAGCCGAGGCTTTGTCGTGAACCTCGACCCGGTAATGGCTCTGTGTAGAGCAGGTTCTGGCACAGCTACCCACAGTCCCAAGGATTATCATACAAATTAGGGTCCACAGTGTTGCTGGTATCTTCTATTGACTCACCCCCCCCCCATTTGATTCTCATCTCTCTCCCTCTCTCTCTCTCTCTCTCTCTCTCTCATATTCTCCCCTTCTCTTTTTTCTGTCACTGGCTCACTCCTTCTCCCCTTTTAACAACTCCTCCATCACCTTCCTTGCCTTTCCTACCTTTTCAATCTCAATCCTCCTTTCTCAGCCTCTCTCTGACGCCTGTTTTTTTTTTTTTTTCCCCGCTTCTGCCGATTTTGCCGCCCTCGGCGGCCGAAAGATGCTTCGGGACGTGCTGGTTTTACGCAGGAACTTAAAAAAGCAGTTTTCAGCATGTGTGAGAGCACTCGACAGAAGAGCATTGTGGGTAATGGGCTCACAATCACTTTTCTGGTAGAAGCAGTGCTTTGTGCGTGGATGGGTTGATGAGTCGCTGTCTTGATTTCGACTCCCAGAAGCAACACAACGACTTGCATGGTCAGGGCTACCCCATCCCAAACCCCCCCCCCCCCCCGTGGTTTAACAACACCATGCTACATTAAAGGGTTACCCTAGTGGAGAAGTTGGATCACTGTGTTGGGTGACTTCTCTCCTTGTGGTCTGTTGGGTGAGTATGGGAGTATTTTGGGGGGAAAGAGGGTTCAGGAGGCGATGGGTGAAGACGGCTTCTAATGAGTCCAAATGAGTCTTGGTTCTGAAGCTACAGATGAGGGAAGCAGGAAATGAAGGTGTCTGAGGATTTGGCCACGGGACACAGCCCCAGCTAATCAGAGAGGCACATGCAGCTTTGTAGCCCCGCCCCTCTCCTCTAGCCCTTCCAATTAAATCAAAACAAAGCCATTTATGGTGATTAACTAGCTTCCTTGTTTTAATTGACACTGACCAGAATGAAACCTTCAATGCGATTTAGGCAAAGTAATTTTAACCGTGGTCCAGCTAAATGAAGCTGGCCTGTATCTCTCCGGCTTCTCATTTTATACAAACTACCTGC